TCTTCCTGTTACACCTTCACAATCATCTTCTGAACCTCCTGGTAAAAGAAAGAAGAGGTAATAGGTCAGAAATCGTAGAAAAATCATAAAAAATGTCGATAACATATTACGAATATTTAATATTATTATTACTAACCTATAACACCAGAATTTGACATTTCCGAGCAGAGTCGTCCACGTGTACCGGCAGAACAAAGACATGTAAATGCTGCTCCATTGGGTCCACCTAGTAGACAGGTACCATTGTTTTGGCAGGGATTTGGCATACACCCATCGTTTGCTGGAAACAAAATTAAAATGATTAACTTAAAATCGTTAAAATTCCTTATTTTATTTAATTAACAAATTAAATTATCCTGGAAAATAAATCGAGAGAAATAACTAGAATACTAGCACAGAATTATATCTGTAAGTTTATTGCTGATTAAAGTAATTAATGAGAAAGGTATTGATATTTTAAATTTAGATTCATCGTATGCTGATGATACTGATGCCAAACACCTGTTCACCAGGAAGACGTCAATTTACACCATTTTAAGCAACAGAGGATAAAACATTGCGTTCTCAACTCCAAGAGTCTATATTTCCCTCAAATTTGATTCCTTAGATTTATTTCACCATTAATCAATGTAGATAAACAATAAAACGCCTACTTCTTCAGTGGATGTCATATTTTGAAATAAAACCTGTGATATAGACATAGTTATTTTGACTTTGAGTCCTTAACACCGACATAAGACAGTATTTTTGCTGTATTTCATAAGCTTCGACGTTTATGACTTGACGCTAAAATAATGTCAACGACGTAACTGTAAAATATGTATATCTAAAATCCAACTTTTAACTGTTTGTTTAGAGCAAGTTGTCCAAAATTGAGTAAGTAAACCATAATTAATTTACAACATTAGCAGAATATAGAATATTGATAGAAGATCGATTCAGATTTGATAGCAGATAAAAAAATGATTGATAGTTCCCTTCCGATACATTTAGAATCTAAAAACAGTGATAAACTCGATATAGGTTGTAATCCTATGCAATAGCAATGTAGCTGGAAAATTTTCTTAAATTTATAGATGTTCTAAATTCATAAGAAGTGAAATTCATTTTCAGCCGCTAGCCTGCCCACCGGACCATTAAAGACCAAATCACCACTCATTTTAAATCATTTCTTCAGTTTTATTATTTTATAGTATATTGTAGATCGCAGAATAAGTCTTGAAAAAAAATTACAAACAATGTTACTTAATGTGTATTGATAGTTGTAGCATCGACTTTATTAAAAAGCAATATTTAGTTATTTCCCGTGGTATACTCCTTCTTCTGTCTCTCGTTTTTCAACTGTGTGTTATATTTATTATTTTTTATTCGTTCGGAATGAGAAACCAAGAACCTTGCAGGGCATCGCATCCGAGTCCGGTAGCGTACGTATGGAACGTCGTTCACGGTCTGAAGGGTTCGCGAACTTGCCGGCCCGACTGTGTGCAAAGCACCAGTATGGAACCAATTACATCCTACAATGAACGCGAGTATTGTACAGAACAGGACTTTCGGATAACAAATATTTTAAAATCCGGTAGGCTTTCCTAAATCCAATAGAGAGAAACTCGAGTCGATCCTTGGAACTCCAAGTGACTTCTTTGACTTTGATATCAAGTTCTGGTTCCTGAACTCGTGTGATGTGAATTTTTTAGAAGCTGCCACGTTTTGGAAAACTCATTCGTTTGTAGGAGCCAAAAATAAGTATGTAATATATATGCATTATTTTTCTAATTTTTTTTTCAAATATTTTCACAAAAAATCTTTGGTCTGATATGAGTATCTTTACTGCTTTAACTTAATTTAGAAGTCTAATTAGTATAGTTAAAATTGTTTAATTAGAACGATTTTTTTTGCAATCGGAATAAACATTCTATGAGCTATTTAGTACAATTGTAATCACCCACACATAAAATTATTGCACTAAATTTTTGTAAATGAATAGTTGTCACTCCAATGAGTGATTCACAGCACAGGTCTCCAAAGATTAGAGTGAATTTAATTTTTTTTTAATTTTTGAAGGCAATTTTTATATTTTATATATTTTACAGTTATTTGTTTCATAATAAAATTATTTTTACGCCTGTCCTAAAATGAACAATAATTAAAATTGTACGATTGAAAAAATACAAGTCTTCTGGTCATTGCTAAGGATTAGACAATAATTAACCATTTTGTAAAAAGTAGGTACAATTTGTAGGTACTATACATAGAAATTATAGTTGTTATTAGTTATAGTAGTTAATCATAAAAATATAAGCCCTTGATTATGAGAAATTACAAAATTTAATTTTTCAAATTTATTTCAGAATAAAAATGCAAATATTGAAAATAGGAGTGTATCATTTGACTATCTAAGAAAAATTACTAATCAAAATATGAAGTACTCATTAATAGATTGATCGTTTTGTGAAAATACAGCAGAATTTGTTGTATGCTATGCTATTGCTCATTTTAGTTTATGAATCAATATGATATATGTCATATTGCATTCGTACTATGCAAATTCTCCTCCCCAATTCGTCCCTGTTCGCTTTGGTTACGTAGCGTAACCGAACTCATTCATATCAGTGATTTATTTTTTTTATATAGAGAAATTTGTCTTGGCTTATGGTTTTATATTAACAATAATCCTTGACATGAAAATATTAAAATGATCACCTGCCGGCATACTGTTTCACATCAATACTTATATTGTTTGCATGTTGGTTTCTTTAAAAGTTGTTCGGCTTGAGAAAATAACTATGTTAAAAATACATTCTTATTGTGTGAGATAGCTAGGAAAATTATGTTAAGTATAATAATATATCCACGAGATAAATATGGTTAAAACTGGGATTTTCAAAAATATTTTTTTTAAGTTTCTGCCCTGTACCTGTAGCTCTGAAGAACCGCATCGCACGCAAACACTGGATTTATAAGAAGTAACCGGTACATATACTTCGATCAAGAATAATCCGAAACAAATTAAATTGCATAAAGTACGAACAAAATATATGAACGCACAAATATTACCAATACACACAACTCATCATCTCTGAACGATATTAATGGTACGAATAAATTTAACGCCATGCCATAATTACAGAACATTAAATGATAGCAATACATCTATAAGAGTATAAAGAATATAGAGATACGTGTATATATGGCGATATATTGATACAAAGGGGCGGATTTAGATTTCGGACTAATTTACTGCAGAAAAAAACACCAAAGATGAGAATGCAATAAAAACACTAATACCACTTTGCTAAAACAAATCCTTTAAGAGCGCCTTTAGTGAAAACTGATCAGCAATATGGAATTGACAATATCAAAACAGTGCAATGAACTTTGCATTGGGACTCATTTTATTTGCCAAAAGTCATTATTATGAAATTGCCTTAAAAATAGCTGAACTTAAAAAACACTAAAAAAATTTAAATGCTAGAAGCTTATAACAGAGATTATTTAAACTATAAATAATATGTTATAATTGCCATGAGCATAGATAAAAGAAAGGCCTTTTGGTGCCTTCACTTGGGGGCTAGGGACTCATTGCAATAAGGGTAAGTACTAAAGGCGTTTTTTCACAGGATCCTAAAAAATTTTAAATTATTTTTTGTCTCGAATGTACAAGTAAACTGTCTTGTATGATATTATCATAGCTGTGCAGGTCCGTCATGTTATATAAAATTGTACTATCATAAAATTGCGGTTTGTATTATTATTATCTACAAATTTTAAATTTTATATATGTTAATTTGCTTCAAATTTATCAATCTTTGTTAATGTGTAACAATATTTCCAATAATCCAATAATTAAAATATAATGTATTTCAAATCCGGCCCTAAATTGCACGCATAGCGTTTGAGAATTTTTTTACTAAAATATGAACGCCGATGCTGAAGCGAAATGGCAAAAAAGAAACTATGTTCCTTCTTCTCGGCCATTCTTTACTTCGTTGCAAATCAGTGATGGCCAAAAAATATTATTAAAATGAAGACAACGAAATAAACTTAAAAATTTAGGAAAAAACTATAAAAAAAATTTGGTAATTAGAAAACCAGTTACAACAGTAATGTTTCGGTAAGGTTCCAGAAGGCACTGCCACTGAATGAAATATCGTTACGCACAAAACAATCTGCAATAAGTACAATAAATACAATTTCTTATACCCATTATTATTTTCAGCCCAAAGTGAATACTTAAACCGCCAATTTATCATCCCTGATCAATACTTTTTCTATCTTCTCCAAGCCGAAGTTGAACTAGACAGTGGTCACGCACCGAGTTAGTACCAGCACGCCATTCGCATATTGATAAAAATTATTGGATTTTATTATGTATTCTATGAACTAACAACCAAATATTTATGATGTCATAAACTTTTTTACGCATATTATATTTGTCTCTTGTCTCTTAGAAAAATAATAGAAGTCACCAACATGGTGATGATCAAATGACCACACAACTGAGTTTTCAACACACAAATTAGGGGGAGGAAACCCCAATAATTTCTATATAAACTGAACTTCGTTCATTTAATTTATAATTATTCGCATATTTCATTCTCGTAAAAGTTGTTGTCTGCTGATATATGATTCAAAATATTTACGTTCTCAATAAGAAATATGCATTTTGTATTGAGACTTGGTCATTGTTCTTTATCACAGCATGCTACCTATGAAATACAACATATAGTGTATTGTGTATATCAAAATAACATATTCGAAGTCTATATACAGGCAACAATAAAGATGTTCTTAAGGAATGAATGATAAAATGTAATTTTGAGAACAATATGTCATAATCATCATTTGTTATAGATGTTTTGATATCACCGACTATATACTCATCAAAGTAATCACATAGATATCATTAGATAAATAAATATAAAATAGAAATAGTGGATCTTGAGAAACTCATTTTTTTAGGTTCATAATCATATTTATTACTTAATAACTAATTAATATGAAATTTTCAATTTTAAGTTTCAATTACACGTTATGTTTGCAAGTTTACTACAAGCGAAAGGAGTAAGTGTGAAGTACTGATTAAAAATAATAAATGCACTGATAATTTATTCATTATTCCAAGTGTTTGTTAACGTGCATAATATTTTAATTCAGGATCTCTTATCTAAATCAATTCAAGCATAAATCTCTTCATCTATTCTTCGAAAAATGTAATCACATCACTAGATTTCTAAGCAATTTGAATGCAACAAATTCAGTTAATAAATGTTTCCTTCTGTG